ACAAAATAAAATAAAATAATAAAAAATAAATAAGAAAGGCAAGAATGCATGTTTAGTCCCATTTGTTTAATGCATTTTTTGTTATGTTGGTTTCACCCCATAGCAATTTTAGTCGCACTGTTTTAACTTTTCGCTCTTCGGTCCCATGATTTAATATTTTGCAGTAATTTGAGTCCTCAAAGGACTGAAATTGTAATAAAATTTTAAATTATAGGACTTAAAAATCCACCACAAAGATATAAATTTTAGAATTTGTAGCAATGTCAGTCATCAAATGACTGAAATTGCAATAAAATATTAAATTACAAAAACGAGAAATGTTAGAATCTTAGGACTAAAATTGACATGACATTAAACCAACAGAGACTAGAAAAATGCAATTTTTATCCTTTAAACCCAACCCCCAACATCAATATAAACCATCCCTTCTCTTCTCACACACATTGTTCCAAATAGGAAAAAAAAAATCCCCACAAAAAAAATGAGGAAACTTTTGACATTCTCCCTTCCCCTCCTCTTATTTCTCCTCTCTACCACCACCACCCGGACCGCCGCCCAATCTCCGGCGGCTGCCCCGTCTCCTCCTCCCCCCACCAACCTCACCGCCATCCTCGAAAAATCCGGCCAATACTCAATGTTCATCCGCCTCCTACAGACCACGAAAGTTGCGGATCAAATTGACACGCAGCTCAACAACTCGAAAAACCAAGGGATGACTCTCTTCGCCCCCACCGACTCGGCCTTCTCGAGCCTCAAACCAGGAATTCTCAACTCGTTCACCGACCAGCAAAAAGTCGAGCTCGTCCAGTTCCATATCGTGCCCCGCCAACTGTCGTTGCCCGAGTTCCAGACCGCGACCAACCCGCTGATGACACAGGCTGGCGGCAGACAGGGCTCGTTCGACCTCAACGTGACGACCTCGGGAAGTACGGTGAACGTCACGACAGGTGTCACTAATGCCACGGTGGCGAACACGGTGTACACGGATGGACAGCTGGCGGTGTACCAGGTGGACCGGGTTTTGCTGCCGCTGGCGTTTTTTCAGAGCCCGGCTCCGGCGCCCGCACCAGCTAGGCACAAGAAGGATGCACGGTCAGCGGATGCACAGTCAGACGATGCACCGGCAGCAGATTCGTCTAGTGGGGCCCGCGTGGCGGTCCAGGTGGCAGCATTTGTTGGCATTGTCTCGGTGAATTTGGTTATATAAGGATTTGTTGTTATTATTATTATTTTTTTAAACAAGACATTCTTTTTTCGTGTATTGTGTTATGTTGTGAGTTTATGATATTTTGGGCCTTTCGGGGCGAGCGAATACGGACAGGGAAATTTGAGTTTTTTTTTCTACTTTGCTTATAAATGTCTTACTAACTAGTTATCTATCAGATGCATCTATGAAAGACTAGGAAAAAAAGGATTCTTGATGGGGGAACAAGAAAATCGAAAGCAGAGTTAAATATTTGGCACAAAAAATTAGCAAATTTTCTTCATCACAGACATTTTGTAAAGAGCGAAATTTGGTATGAAATACACTGTGAGGACATCAAGGAACTACACGAAACAAAATCTACATCCTTACAAATGCATGAGAATAAGAAACATTCTGAATATTATGCTGGATTTCAATGAATGCCCGACAGAGAAATTTCTACAAGCCGGAAGAAAAAAATCGGCCAATTAATTGCAATATCAACTCAATCGAAAACAACGTGCTTACAATTTCATCACATCTTCAAATGTCAGGGAGAGACTTATCAATTAACAAGCATCTGCTTGAAAAAATCTAATTAGAAGCCCCTTTAAAACTCTATAAACAAAAGCAAAAAACCTACCCCAAAGACAATAATAACTGTTTTAACTACTAAAATTTCAGTTTTTTTATGACCTTATTCAATTGACAAGCATCTTCTCGAAACAAAAATTCTATGGAGCCATCGGATGGGTTTTCTTATACAGCAATCAACCACTTAATGTATTTACATCTGCTCAAATTGTATTTATTACAGGACACGTTTCAATATACTATTAGTGAATAAATTGTAGGGAACTTTAACGGGATAATAAAAATAAGATGGCTATCATATATAATACCGAGGCCTGTGATAACACAGTGTCCTTAAAACAGATCCGCCCCGTATGAGCGTCTGTTTCCCAGGATACAACCGAAAAACCGAAACAAATTCGGCGAACTGGAATAATACCTGGACCAAAACACTTAAAAAATGGGGAATTGTACTTTAACAATTGTATTCTTTTTTCTCGTGTGTTCTTCAAAAGATGGCTAGAC